TACGCTAAAGCCATTAAATGTAAGGCATCACCTTGACCTCCGCTCACCTCATTTATGCCTGAGCCAGAAAATCCGCTCATTGCTGTCTTTTGGATTTGTTTATGATGTATTATGTAACCAACTAAAGAAGTTTGGACTCAAAGTACTCTTAGTCTTAATGTTACTGTTATAATAGATGTAATTGGATAGAGGAATACATTTGCGTTGTGTCGTTGGAAATGTAGATGAGGCAGACAACGAGTTAGAGGCTGTAGTTATAGTATTGTGTCCTATACTATCTTAATATGTCCTTGTAGAAAAACAGCATTTCAAACTACGTGGACCAGGTGCGTGTATAGATTGGTTTAAAGCACATTTAAGAACACTTGTAGTAGAGGTGAGTAGTGAGTAGCACTGTACCTTACCATTACCTGGTTATGAACTCCTGTTTCATGTTATCAAATGTATATGGTGGATTTCTTTGTTTACATTTGTGAAAAGGTAGGTTGTGTGCCGAAGAATAATGATGATCAGAAAACATCGTACACATGTAAGTTGGTATAATTGCTTCACATTCTTTCATGAGAACGATTAAGAAGGCTCAAAAGGGTTAATAAAAATATCAAAATAAAGTATTCTGACGTTGTTTTACTATTTTCTTGCGGTCTGGTTGCAACATCAATAATGTTGAGTACATTACATTAAGTGGTATCTTAACTCATACCTCATGTACATCTCTTTTATTTTATGCAAAGTAAAATCATTCCAGGTTAGCGATTCCGGATCGGTTTATTTCATTCTTGATTATGAGTTGAAACTGTTTATCATATGACTGGGCTATATAATTCCATCTGATTGGCTATAAGGTTCAACGTCATCATGTTACACACGTTGCTCTCCACTGAGTCACTCTGAGTTCTGTCTCACGGCTGGAAAGGTTAGTTTCAATTTCTTTGTAATTTAACATAGCATACACTGGGATCACAAACACGTTTGTTACAGATGAACCATGATATCAAATTTGGATAGCTATCTGCAAACTTTCAGGATTTCAAGCGTTTGCGCGACATAGTTTCATACAGTACGATAGTGTCAGCATATATATGTCGACAGGGGAACTATCTCAGTATTACACATTGCCAATGACGAAGAATACGTTGTGAACATGGATATACTTATAGACAACAATGGACAGACGAAGAGACAGCAATAGACAGATAAAAAAACAATAGCTTGGACTAATTGATCTGATGTCAAACACGGCCAAGGGGATAACCAATTAAGGTAATGAATGTCATACACAATAATTAATGAAAGCGTCAGAGTGGCACGGGTTCGCTGCGTCAATGTACAATAAGCATTAAGAATGGATGTTAAGGTGATATAATAATTGCATACAAAGTCATACAAGTCTAGGCTACATAGTTCTTGGCCCTTGGGAATATTTGGGTGATTGCTGTCCTGAATCAGTCGCTATGACAGCATTATAATTCATTTGACACGTGTGACTGTTTATTTGGGTGCGCCTAGTCATTGGGTGATTGCAGCGCATACAAACAGAAAATTATACAGACCGCGCATACAAATGTACAAAAAGTTATGAACTTACCTGAACGAATCAGTGACAGCACTACACGACAGCTGCCAACTACACAATTTGAATAACATTTCGTTAGACACACGTCTGCGTTCTAATCCCAGATACCCCGCTGTTTTAATCCCTATTCTTGTACTTCAATAATTCAGCAAATACAAATATACTATCCCAAAAAAGAAACGCATAGGCGATTTGTATTTTGAAAATTCTATTAATTACCTATTGTGTTCAAACAATCGTCAAAATATGTAACAGAAATGTTGACAACATGATTTTACACAATTGCACAAGTAAAAATTCGATTTTACCTGAAAATGTTGATTTTGATGAGATTTCTTACAAGGATTAGATAGACATCACCACAACGCAACAGAAATTGTGCAGCAAAGAGCATGCACTGTCTTGCAATAAAACCCCACATTACTTTCGGGAAACTGGCATTCGTTTTGAAGGCGTTTCAAGGTCAAATCACCACGCCACGACTTGACTCTGCGACACGCAACATCGCCATTGAAAGAATGCACGCTGGAGATTACCAATCTTCTGTTGCCAGGCGTCTGAATGTTAGTCTGAGCAAGATATCACGGCTTGCAGCTCGTTACAACCAAACAGGTATAACACATGACCGTCCCCGTACAGGCAGACCTCGAGTTACCACTGCAGCCCAAGATCGGTATATCCGGGTACTACATTTGCGTGATCGTACTGCTACGACTGAGAGCACAGCAGCTAGGGTGCCTGGACTTCGGAGGATATCCGGTCAAACTGTACGGAACAGGTTGAAAGAGATTGGTCTGAGAGCCAGGAGACCCGACGTCGGGACCGTGCTACGTCGTCACCATCACGCTCAACGTCTCCGTTATCTAAAAGTATCCACTTGGTTGTATTGACATTACGTTCTTCTAAACTGGTGTAAAAATTCATGCACTAAAGTCTATTTGTTGACGAGTTATACATGTTTGAAAATACAACATTTTCGCAACAGATTTCTGGTCTGTGCGTTTCACTTTTTGGGATAGTATATATATATATATATATATATATATTGCATAGATAAATAAAAACAGAATGCCGTTTTCTCCAACATGTTTCGTTCTTTACTCTTCAGGCAGATTGTAGCGGTTGCAGTATGACGTCATTACATATATATTGTGACGTCATAATAGGGACAACATTCTAGAACGACAAGGTCACAGCTTGCAATGGTTTAACATTGGTTTGTACTTGTCTATGAAGTAGTGTTCTTTTAAAATTCGTTTTACTTTGTCCGAATTTTGAACTTGATAAAAAGGAAATATTGTTAATTTAACATCGTTTCCTTTCGCAGGGAGATTTGAAACTCCGACCTATAATTGCAGGCACAGCGTGTGCTACACATAGACTAAGTAATTTCATTGATATTTTATTGAAACCAATCTCATCAAATGTTAAAAGTTTTACTCGTGACACCATGCATTTCCTTTCCTCTTTACCACAAAAAACGTTAATGAAACAAGCAAACTTGTAACTTTTGATGTAAAAAAATTTGTATTCAAATATCCCACATAGCCTAGGAATTAAAGCGTTGGATTATTGGTTAAACCGTTGTGAAGAACACATACCTGAGCGAATTTCAAAGTCATTCATTTTGGAAAGCGTTGAATTCATCTTAAAAAACAATATTTTCTTTTTTGACGATAAGTACTATAAACAGATTAAAGGAACAGCCATGGGAACCAAAATGGCGCCGACTTATGCGACGCTTGTCTTAGGATATCTGGAGGAAAAGTTCAAGCATAAAATCAGTCAAATTCTTGGAGAGGATGTTGCCCATTATTTCATGGAAAATTGGAAAAGATTTCTAGACGACTGCTTCATAATTTGGCCATTTTCTGAGGAGAAACTAAATACATTTTACGAACTATTAAATAGCATGGACGAAAATCTTGTTTTCACTATGGAGGCAGATGAAACTAAAACAGCTTTCTTAGACACAATGGTCATCAAATCGGGGCGGAAATTGGACACAGATATCTTCTACAAACCTACAGATACGAAACAATATTTAAACTTCAAATCTTGTCATCCGAGCCACACCAAAAGAAGTCTTCCATATAACCTGGCACGAAGAATATGTACAATAGTTTCAAACCAAGACACCCGCAATCAAAGACTGAATGAACTTAGGACGTTTTACTATTACGGGAATATCCAAAATCTCTTGTTGAAGACGGAATATATAAAGCTTTACAGCTTAATAGAGACGATCTTTTGACAGGAACGATGAAACAAACCAATGAGGAAAAAGTAATTGCTTTTGTATCTACTTATAATCCGTTGAACCCAAATGTGTTCCAGAACATAAAAACAAATATGTGCATCTTAGAACAAGATGAAAACTGAAATCAATGCTGAAATCTAGAAAAATAATAAATAGCAAAAAAGACAAAATCAGAATCTTAAAAGATACTAACAAAAGCCAAATTTATTTTAAAGAAACAGAATTTATCAAATCCTACTGTGTCTAGATGCAACAGAGGTAACTGTGGAACGTGTCGACATATTGTTGAAGGACACTCTGTAACTTTCACGAGACACGGAGAATTCTATGTAAAACAGAATTTTGACTGCTCTTGCAAAAACATAATATATGTCATAACATGCACAGGCTGTAATGAACAGTATATTGGTCAATCAGAAAATTTAAGAGCCCGGGTTCGTGTCCACAAACAACAAATAAAGTGTCCTGAAACCCGATGTATCCCACTGAGTGAACATCTAGATGTCTGTGCGAAAGGAAACGATGTTAAATTTACAATATTTCCTTTTTATCAAGTTCAAAATTCGGACAAAGTAAAACGAATTTTAAAAGAACACTACTTCATAGACAAGTACAAACCAATGTTAAACCATTGCAAGCTGTGACCTTGTCGCTCTAGAATGTTGTCCCTATTATGACGTCACAATATATATGTAATGACGTCATACTGTAACCGCTACAATCTCCCTGAAGAGTAAAGAACGAAACATGTTGGAGAAAAAGGCATTCTGTTTTTATTTATCTATGCAATATTTATGACTGAACACCTGTACTACTTTGGACATTTTGTGCGTATATATATATATATAATTCTGGTTCGAACCCATTTAACGTGTTTGCACCTTTCCCATAGTAATAATAATTTCTAAATCCATAGACAATCATACCACTTCCTCCTCAATTAAAATCACACTAAAATGGAATATCCTCTACGTTTTAAATAGAGTTGTTATTGAATGTAGTAGTAAACATGCCTTTAACATGTGTCCACGTGCTGTCTATATCACTAGTATTGCGTGAATATGGCTGAAAACCATATCCGTTAACCCACATTTATTTACTTATTGACTCTATCATTCTTGTGGCTTCAGAAAGGAACTCTCTCTCTCTGTTCGTGAAGATAAAATGAAGTTTGACGAGGTTCTGTTGCACCTGGGAGAATTTGGACGGTATCAAAAGAGATTGTACTTTGTATTATGTATACTCACGTTTATGGTGGCCATGCAGAGCCAGGTAGTTATATTCCAGCTGGATACACCAAATCATCGGTATGTATAACCCGTATATATTTCTATCCATCCGTAAATGCATAGACGGCGACTTCGGCATATCGGCATTCCAACAAACGTGTCATCTCTTTTGGCAGACATTTCGCATGAATGTGCAAAGGGTTTTGGTCGCTTCTATTTAGACCACGCAATCTAATTGTATAGGTGCTCCCTTGGCGTTAACGACACCTATCAGGTACAGGACAAGCATCACTCTTCCCTCATCAACATGTCCATCCCTTGGGAGACAGAAAGGGACAAGCAGGTGCTCTCCTCCTGCAAAATGTACCAGTACCCTCAAAACGGCAGCCAACCAAACAATATGACAGCTCCGTGCAGCTCATGGGTGTTTGATCGGTCCACGTATGAATCGACACTGACGGAAAAGGTAATATACACATAGTACTTAATTAAGCGCCCTCCTGTTCTAGATCTGTGTCAGTCCTTTCATACTTCTAGAAGGGCAGTAATGAGTCAGAGTTGGATGCCTGAGGACCCTTCGGGACTTCAAACCAAGCGACATGGGACGGTCATGGTTGACAAATGTATGTTTTTCGCATCTAGAGTTATTTCAAACGAGCGCTCGTGGCGACGGGTTCACGCCTCACGTAACGTGCAATCATCCGCTGGCAGCGCCGGATAAGCCTACTGATAACAAAGTGGCAGTTACCAAGCTGGCGCCTTGGTGGCCTTGAATGACATGCCAGATGCATGCATAACCGCTTTCTGCCATGTCAGTCCCATAGAATGTCTTCTCCTCACGATATGTTTTAGTAAGTTGAACGAATAATTTCTTCTTTTTTGTGCCATAGTTCAGTATAGTCTGTGACGACCTTGTTCTGCGATCCCACTCGAACATGGCAGGGTTTGCTGGGCAGATGGCCGGAACTCTCATCATGGGACTATTATCAGACTTGTGAGTACAACCAAAGGGAGTACAAGCACTTCACTTCACCAATATATCATATGTCATGAATACGTGGTATTACAATAACTTTGTACGACTCTAACACGCCCTGTTCATGTCTGTAAATGATCATACATTGTCACAAGATATATAGATACATTAATAAGTATAAGTTATACGACTAGTATGTGCAGTATAATTCACGAACTGTTTTTAATATAAGTGCAACGAAGCGGCGAGTAGTATAACCAAGCAGTACGTGGATTAAATTGCACATACGAGTCGTATAACTTACTTACTCTGCGACAATGAAGAAAGAACTTAATGTGAATGTGAAAAATATCAATAAAAGCTAATGCTGACAAATACCTTTTTGTGTCACAATGCTTGCGCGGGTGTAAAATGGACCGTAATTTCTATATTAAACACATGACAATATGTCATGTAACTAGTTCTCTGAATTTCTTTGTTATGACTGAAAGTAAGTATCGGAGTTTCGTCGCCATCATATTACAACAGAATATAAAGTTTTCTGTCTTTCTTGTTGTTCAGCGCTAATGTGGGATTGGGTTTCTGCTGTGTTAAGTGTTTTACATCATCGCACACCAGAGGTAATACGGCATAGACATGTAGTCATGTGCCGAATTTATCGTCCGTGCACGGTTGTCATTTTCAGTCGACCACTTTGTCATTCTGGGCCAGTATTCAACGAAAACATTTGCCTTAGGTAAAATGGAGGAAAAGAAGACGTATCTTTCTCTGTCAGATATTATAGATGATGATGAACTGATATCTTCGTCTCAAGTCATTGCCGATGATCAAATGTTTGTCGACAACTATGACTTTTAATCAGATGGCGAGGATGTTATCGCTTCTACCAACTGTGAAGATGACAGTATGAAAATTGCACGCAAGCCCGAAAGATGTAAATATTATATGAAGTCTAATATGTTAATAATAATAGACAAGAAATACCCTCCTGTATTTTATTCTCAATGAATGCTATCGACTACTTTCCAGATATAATTTAAACTCTCTATCAGCAGCTTCAAAAGTATTTTGGTCTACGCTGTTTACAACTAGTGGTTATTTTTGAGTGAAGCAAACAAAATCTGTTTCTAGCATTTTCGACAGTATTTATTAGATCTGTAACGAAAGCAGACAAAATGAAATTGAAAGTAATTCTGTCAATATTCCCGCTAATAACTATATTTTCTTTCTTCTCTAGACCGGTTTGCTGATCCTAAAACGCATGAAGAGATGATCGCACAGAACAGTACTCTGTGGCACCTGTTGGTCAGCACACCTTGGCTAAAGTTGTCAGAAGGCTGAGTCAAGAAGGTGAGAGGTTTTGCTAAAGTTTAAGAAATAGTGTCTACATATGCAAGACTAAAAGGTTAAAGTCAGGTTTTCATTTTTAATGTTTTAATGAAATTATTTAAATATTGCTGAATGAAAAGATTAATGTACTTATGCATTGTATTTTTCAGGTTTCTTCACAAACCATTCATTGAGGGCAACATGTACAACACGACTATTCAACAACGGGGTGGATGAGCAGTTGATCGCACGAACCAGTCGGCACAGAAACAATGCAGTCGGGGAGTACAAACGTGCTAGCGAGCAACAAGAAGAGATGGTGGGCAACCTCCTAAGCCACAGAAGAAAACGGTCATAAAGGCTCTGCGAGGGCAACGTCCACAACGACCACATGTGACGCTGGGTCTTTGGAATTTACTGTCAATGTCAAGGTTGCAAAAAATGCAATTCCCGAAATAAAGGTTGATGTGATGCTTCCAAATTGCATTTCCGTGTCCTATTTCGGTTGGTTATACTACACCCGAGAACAAACAGTCGTGTAAATAGTGACAAACTGCAGATGATACCCGGTTAATCAAATACTTAGCAATTAGTATCGTGCATGTTTTAGACTTTACAAATAGTAATACATATTAATAATAGGACAAAAGGTCATGTTGAAATATGCCACGTACATTGTCCCAATATTGGCAAACAAAACCATGTCCTTAAAAATGGATATCTAGGTTCGGATATTTCCGGCAATTTAAACAACAAACCAATGAATTTGAAGAGTACTATAATTTGTAAGCTGCACAATTGCTTCCCACATGAATACAAGCTCTGTCCAGAACGTTGCCTATAAGCATTCTTATCAAACGCGATAATTAAGCTTCACTTCCATACTCATTTTCAGATTCGGACGACGTCCCCTCGTTTTGATCAGTTCAGTGGTCAAGGCGATTGTCACCATCAGCATGGCCTTTGTCCCCAACGTGTACGTGTACATGGCGTTCAGGGCGCTGGCGAGTGTGTGTGGGATAGCTGCCTTCACAAGTTCTCTTGTTCTGAGTAAATATGTATTCATACTTATGATATCATTATTATTACATTAATATTACTTTAAAGTTTTGCTGAGTCAGATAGGCCGTGGGCCGAAGCCCCAAATTGTGTCAAAGTGCTTTAACATATCTGGTGAATACAAAGTTAGTGTTTTATAGTTAAGGCTGTTATTTATAAAGCATATTAAAAAACTTTTCTTGTTAAATCACTTGCACATTAATTATTTAGAAGCCCTTGAATGAAAAATTCTAAAGCAGTGATTCACCATGGTTGCAACGTATTTTTGACCAATCAGAATACAGGAAACAGCTATTGTGTGCAGTGCTACAACATGGCCGCTGCCATGGCTGTGGTATGTTTATGTCTCATTACTGACAATAAAATCGGTGATTTATTTCCATTTACGGATATAACATTAGCAAAAGTGAGTGAATGTGTTGCAATATGGAAATAACTAGATGGCATTGAAAAATCTGTCTCTGAGAAAGTTAATACAGCTTCTAAAAGCACAGCTAAGTTCCATCTAAAGTGTTACCAAACATTTACTGGTAAGACTAGCATTGAGAGAGCTTTGAAACGAAAAGACAAGGGTTGTTTGCATAAAGGATGGGTAGATTCTATTCCAAAAAGAACAGGCAGAATTATGTTGCACTTTGGCATTCATGCCTTAAATGGTAGATTAGGTAATGATTTATGTGGCCAATGTATATGCTTTACTCATAACGGTTGCAGTGCTGTTGACTACATGTTACCTTCTTCATTATTTCCTTGCACCACACAGTTTAATGTAGGCACACTAGATAACTCGTGTCACTTTCCCCTGTCATGCACATTCAAGCTCATTCAAACACATATACCTCTAATACACAGGAGGTCTATGAAAACAGTGCATTCATTACAAACTTTACACTTGGTAACACTTTTTCAGAATAGAATAGAATAATACTTTAATGCCTTTTCAGGAATTGTGTTGAAGTCAGCTGATCACACACAAAAAACATATATGATGCTACATTTGCTTCAACTAACATAACCACCTTGGTGGGATCAGGAATTAGAAAACATAAAGCATGACAAATATGCAGCACTCAGAGCTCATAGAGATCACAATGTAGACTTAAATATCTTCAGACAGTTACAAACACTCTTCAAATGTACATTTAAACAAAAAAAGATGACGGTTCCAAAACATACAGATAAATTAGTAGCAGCAAGCACTAACCCTAAATTATTTTGGAAAACACTTTCAAACAATATCACAATCATGTCAACAAATTGAACAATGGATAGATCACTTCTCAAATCTTTTATGCATTAATACTCCTCAAAGCACACAAGAACATTTACCATCACCTTTACAACCTACAAACAACACTCTCTTTTTTAAACCAACCTTTTTTGCGAACAAGAACTATTATTTTCTGTTTTCCAAATAGTAAAACCCCTGATCCATGCGGAATTTCCACATGAATTTCTGAAAGAGTCGAGAAGTTTCATTGTCCCAACTCTCACTGTTCTTTTAATAAAATTTATGACTTTGGATATTTCCCTCCCATTTGGGGTAAGGGCATTTTACGCCTTTTGTTAAAATCTGGCTACCCCCGACAATTACAATGGTCTATCCCTCATTGACTCCCTTTGTAAATTATTTACATCAATTCTAAATAAAACATCAAAGTATGGTGCGATTTAAATAATATCATTTGTGAATATCAGGCTGGTTTCTGGGAAAACTATTCTAAAATAGACCACATCTTTACACATCAGGCTATCATACAGAAATATTCATTTAAGAAATAGGGTAGATTTTATTGATTTTTCAAAAGCTTTCAAGACACTTAAACATGATGAATTTTTACATGCTCTCCGTAAGGCTGGGTTAGATGGGAAGTTTTTAAACATTATTACTTGTATGTATTATTCACTTTGTGCCTGTGTCAGTACCCTTGAGAGACTTTCTAAACAATTTTCTTGTAATGTGGGTACCCGTCAGGGATGCATTTTTAGCCCACAAAAGTTTATAATATTTATCAATCATTCATGTACAAGTATGCAACATGAAGGTGGTAAGGGAATATCTATTTCCACTGTTTATAATAATGTGTATGACCTTATGTTTGCTAATGATGTTTCAGCTCTTTCAGACATGTGTATTCAAGTGCAGACAAATGATGACTGCCCTTGAATTATTTTGTAAAGAAACAGGAATGGAAGTAAATCTTAAGAAAACTAAAGCTGTTATATTTAGAAATGGAGGGCCTAGATCTTTTGAAAGGTAGTATATTAATGGGGAATAATTGGAAACTGTGTCCTTTTTTTAAATATAAGGCATTATATTTCCGTATTTTACCCCATTCCATGTACGTACAACTTCTGCTTACCAAGTTCATGAGGGTCCGTATAACCTTAGTGTTGATTATATATATTTTACATAAAAACTGTAATTAAAATTACACAATGCTAGGTTATATTTTTTTGGGTTAAATAATAGTACTCTGTATTATATTTTACTGATGACTGCGTCAGAATTCGTCCCGTTATATTATTGTGCATGTTTGAACTTGTTCGCTGCTGATTGCTATTTCCGGCTCAAATACACACGGTAATCTTAATCTTAATTATATTTCTTTGGGTTTAATAATAGTATTCTGTATTATATTTTACTGATGACTGCGTCAGAATTTGTCCCGTTATATTATTGTGCATGTTTGAACTTTTTCGCTGCTGATTGCTATTTACGGCTCAAATACACACGGTAATCTTAATCTTAATTAACTTATAGAGCAAAAACTGTAATTAAAGTCACACAATGCTAGGATATATTTCTTTGGGTTAAATAATAGTATTCTGTATTATATGTTACTGATGACTGCGTCAGAATTCGTCCCGTTATATTATTGTGCATGTTTGAACTTGATCGCCGGGAAACATGTGCACAGCTGATTGCTATTTCCGGCTCAAATGCACACGGTAATCTTAATCCCTGCAAATAATACAATGCCCAGCAAAAACAACTTATAACTTAAAAGGTAAATAATCTTGTCTAGTGATGTTTAATTGCAAATTTGACGTCTCTACTGACAAAGTCGTCTTCTGTTGTTTGTTCACGCGAAGTGATACGATGTTGTTTTCTTACCCCTGGAAAAAAGTTTGACGAAAGCGTAACCCATGGATAAGACGACCCCCTTCTACAGACTGCTTTTTTCGGTCCTCAAAATTCGGCTTATAGACGGTAATATACGGTACACCAAAACTTATTTGATCAAGAGCACCCTTATGTTTAGCATCTCAAGCCAGAATTACGCTGCAGGGACAATCTGCCACATTCAGTCAGGCCCATAGAATTGCAATATGACCTACTTATTTTAAGATACTTTTTACAAAAATCAAGCTGTACAGATTTAATACTTTTACAATAAGAAGTTCCCAATATCTCTAAGCCATAGCATAAAATTGGTGTGATCAGTGAAAAAATCTTTTTTGAATAAATCTGTACAATTAATGTTTCCAAATTTCTTTTGAAAATGATTAACTGATAAAATTGCCTTTATATGACCCATGTAATCATATATTGGTGTAGAGAAATACAACTTCCCCATGACAGATTACCCTTTCACAGTTACCTTATGGTTAAGTCATTAGATGATAGTAGTAGAACAACATGGGCATCAAAAGGTAAAAGTATTCTTTTAAATTTTGGTGTTGGATATGTTTGGTTGAGCCCAGATGTTCGTGATTTAAAAATGTTTATAAGCTTATTCAAACAAAGATTATAAGATAATTTAAAGCAGTCTTGGTACACTTCCTTCAGTAATTCCTCCAAATGCAATTATTATCAGTATTTTAAGGCAGTATTAAATGTTGCATGTTATTTACCTAACCTTTCTACCCATTTAAGAACTGCTTTAGCACAATTTAGGTGTAGTAAGCTGTAAGATAGCTGTAGAAACAGGGCGTTATATCAACACTGACTATAATCAAAGATTCTGTACATCATGTAAATAAAGGTCTAACCTATATTGAAGATGAATTCCATGTATTGTTTATTTGTGAATCCTATTCACAACTCTGAGAGAGGTATATTACAAAATTTGTTAAAAAGCCTTACACTTTATATTTTTTAGTTAATCTTCTAGAGAATACTAACGTAAATTTAACTTGTAAAATATGTTGCTTTATGTCTATTTAATGATAAAAGGATTATTATAAACACTCTTGAAAGATCACTGTGCCCCTGAAGACACTGTACTTTTAAATGTATTTTGGGCCTATGGCCTTTTACTGGAAATAAACTCTGACTCTGACATTCAAATCATCAGCATAATGTGTATTAATGACTCATACTTTCCATTCTGTAGATATTTCAAAAGTATAAATACTGTCATATTATTTGTCTGATGAAATCTGTTTCCAGAAAGCTGAAACTGATAGAAATTTGGGCCTGTTACCATTCAAATTTGATAGTTTCATGTGATATATACATGAAAGTTATTTGTATCATATATATCAATTAAATTTAAGTAATTAATTAAATCAGTTGCAAAGACGAATGTAATGTATGATATTCCATAGAGTGTGGTGGCTGAGCGGGTTGGGCGGCTGACTTTGTGCGCTGGCGATTAGGTGCCTGACTCTAAGGGTGTGGGTTCGAATCCCGGATGGGACTCAACCCAATAGAAGTACTAGACTCTGTACTTAACTAAGAAAGTGTAATCCCAAATGTAATATATGTTATATTTGACCACTTTCTAAATGGCATTGTGCAATCACAGAGATTCATATAGTTCTTTGACAATACTCTTTTTTATTTACATGATTGGTCGTGTAATGATCAACACCCTGAACAAAGTTTAGTTGGTGAAATTTTTAATTCAAGAAATTTGAATTTTAACAAATATTTACTAATTATGAAATTATGAAAACATTTCTAATGTTTCTACAAATTACTAGTGCACAAGTATCATAAAAGGCTGTTACCAACAGGCCAAGGTCAAGGCCGTGTAATCAGA